CGGTGTCCTCCGTGGGCCCCGTGGGCAGCTCCCAGGGACAGCAACTACCCATCGATCTGAGCAGCCAGCCTCTAGCAGGTCTCTGGCACAGAAGGCAAGGAGAGCCATCTGTTGTGAGGATATGCTTGGGTTTGCTGACAGCGCTGGGTCTGCCCCAACCTGGGGCCCTGGGGATGGAATGAGGGTGGTGCATTACATTAATGTTTGAGGCCTGGCCAGAGTAGCTCAGTGGTTGAGCAGCGACCTATGAACCAGGAAGTCATGGTTTGATTCCTGTTAAGGGCACATGCCTGGGTTGCGGACTCAATCCCCAGTGTGGGTGTGCAGAAGGCAGCTGATCAATGATTCTCTCTCTTCATTGATGTTTCTCTCTCTCTCTCCTTCTCCCTTCTTCTCTGAAATCAATAATGTGTGTGTGTGTGTGTGTGTGTGTGTGTGTGTGTGTGTTTAATAAGTCTTTGAGGTCCCTTACAGTCATTGTGCCTCGCCCTGCTGTATGCCCTCCATGTCCCCACTTAGAGCTTTTTCACGTCCATTATCTCATTTCAACCTCACAGCATTCCTGGGCGGTCAAGGTTGTCATCCCCACTTTATAGACGAGGAAACTGAGGTCAGAGACCTCTAGGAGAGTGCCTGAGGCCCCCTGGCGTCAGGTGGCGGCACCAGGACTCAAACCCAGGGTCTGCCTGGTTCCCAGAGCGATGGCTCCTTCCCCAGCAGCGCGCCCACTCCCCGGCTGCCCGCACTTGTCAGGGCCCCGTGCAGAGAAGCCAGAACAGGTTGAGGCTGACAAGGACTTTCCCGTCAATACTAATCCCTGGCTCACGGAGACCTGGGAAGCTTGACTTTTGAGTCACCCTCACCTAATCCGCTCCGTGCTGAGCCTGGAAAAGGGAGGCTTTGGCCCCGGGTCGGGGTGGGGGCTCCCTGCGGGGCTGCTGCACAGATGGTGAGGGTGGAGGCCTCTCGCTGGGGAAGAGAATAAAGTTTCTGTCCTCGCACAGTTGGAATGAGGGCCCTGGAGCCAAGCAGCCTGGGCTGGGGCGGGGCCAGCCAACCTTTGGCACGTGAAATGCCACCCCGTGCTCATGGCAGACAATTCTCAGTAATAATTCATCCCCCGCAGGCGTGCGTCCTGAAAGCCCTGTCTGTTCCTGCCTCGTGGGGTCCCCGTCGGAATGTGGGGGGTCGAGGTGCCGGCCCAGTTGTGGGCAGAGTTCAGACGGGGCTGGGGGAGCAGGGCAGTGTCTGGGCACCGCCTGGGGCAGAGGGAGCCTTTGTGCTCTGGGCCCTCGGGGCCCCACCCCCACCCGGCCGAGTGGCTCCATTGAGGAGACATAGCTGACACTCGCCCTTGCTCTCTCTGCTCCTTCTTCTGGGACAGCCTGGGCACAGGGTGCTCTCCTGGGTGCAGCCTGGCATCTGGTAGATCTACCCTCACCCATCATGCCCCGGTGGCTCCTCCTGAGCTGCAGGAGACCTCAGCCTCAAAAGCATGGCAGAATCTCTGGGGAGCTTTAAGAACACAACATCTCTCACTCCTTGCCCCCAGAATGCATGGTGTGTTGGTCTGGGGTGTGCCTGACATTGGCATCTTTTATTATTTACTTGTTTAAGTATATTTTTATTTTTATTTATTTATTTTTAAAATATATTTTATTGATTTTGTACAGAGAGGAAGGGAGAGAGATAGAGAGTTAGAAACATCGATGAGAGAGAGTCATCGATCAGCTGCCTCTTGCACCTACTGGGAATATGCCCACAACCAAGGTACATGCCCTTGACCAGAATCGAACCCGGGACCCTTCAGTCCCTAAGCTGACGCTCTATCCATTGAGCCAAACCAGTCTTCGCTATTTAAGTATATTTTTATTGATTGATTTCAGAGAGGGAGGGCGAGGGAGAGGGAGATAGAAACATCAATGATGAGAAAGAATCACTGATGTGCTACCTCTTGCACACCCCACACTGGGGATGGAGCCTACAACTCGGGCATGTGCCCTGACTGGGAATCGAACCATGTCCTCCTGGTTCATAGGTGGATGCTCAGCCCCTGAGCCATGCCAGCGGGGCCCGGCATTGGCACCTTTTAAAACAATCCCAGTGATTCTGCTGGGAGCCGGGGCTGAGAGCCACTGGCATGAGGCCTTGATTGAATAGCAGCTCAGCCATACCAACCATGTGACCCTGAACATGGGACACAGCAGGTGGTGCCCCAGTTTCCCCTTCTGTGCGATATGGACAGCAATAGTGCTTGTGTCGTGGGGCTCCTGGGAGGATTCGATGAGATGATACCGGACTTACTTGGCACCGCGGCCGGCACAGAGCACACACTCAGATGTGGGAGCTCCTCAGGGCAGTCGTTACTATTTCTCCTTTCTCACTTCAGCCCAGGGGAGATCTTAGGGCTTGATGTGCCAGGGAGAAAGTCCAAAGTGCCCAGAGGGTCCCCTGACCTCTTTAGAGGCGACCCGAGGAGGCTCTGCCCTGATCGGAGGCGGCCGGGTAGGGAAGTGTGGGTCCTCAGCTCTTGGAGCACCAAGGACTCCATGTGGGGGCGGTGGCACCTGCTTGCCCACCTCCCAGGGAGCTCTCAAGGGGAGGGATGGGACCCGCTCAGCTCGGTGCCCCTGTGGATAGTCCACAGTGCATGGCATGGACCTGCCAGGAGACCTGGCAGATTCTCTGGTCACACGGGCAGCAGTAGCTACCACTGCCTGAAAGCCCACTGTGTGCTGGCCCTCTCGCTCGGGGTTGACAAAACCACCCAGAAATTGCCATGGCCTCAGCCTTCAGCCAAGTAAGTAAGGGGGAGGTCCCCAAACCAATGAACCCCACAGCCTCCGGCCTCTGTCAGCCACCGAGCCGCCTTGGACGCTGAATGGGGCACAGAGCTGTGTGCCTGTGGTGTCCAGGGCGTGAGAGTATTGTCACTATAACAACAGAGAGACCAGGGTGAGTGTTTAGGTGGGTATCTTCCCAGGAAGATGGGTTTCTCACGCTTCTAGAACTGCAGGGGGGGTGGAGGGGAGTCACTGGAAATGTCCCGTCAGCTCCCAACCTTAATGATCTGAGATGGCGTTCTAATGTTCCGCACGGAACCTGACTTAGGGGTGACCTTCAGGAATAAATGATCGCAAAGGAACCTGTGAGTGAATGCCTCCAGTTTGGGAAAAGGCCCCCTCCCCAATGCTTTTTTCCAGAAAAGCATTTTTTCCTATGTTTACTTGTCCCCCCGAGATGGAGTGTAAATACGCCTCTGTCTGCAGCCCATGGGGGAAGGTGGGGTGCGGGGCGGTATCTGAGCACCTCTGGAATGCTCGCTTCTCCTCTGTGCCGGGAGGGGTGGCTCTCAGGTCACCCCGGATTCTCCTGCCCTCACTCATTGTTCAGATCCGTAGAGTGACGAGGCCAAGTCTCACACCAAACTCGGTGTTTTTAAAAAAGTTGTTAACTGTCTTTGTGTTATGATAAGGATGTAGACCATTGCATTTAGTCAAGACGTTCAAGTCAAGCTTTTGATCATGTGTTTATTTAGGTATACGCCACTTTATTGCAAACAAGGGATTGTGGCAACTTCCAAAAATAGATAACATACAACGGGATAAAAATAAGGAGATGAGGGTAAAGGTAAAAGCAGGAAGACTAGAACGAAGCCGAGCCCAGTGGGAGACTCAGTACAATTGTTAAAAATAATAACACATCTAACTTTGAGCTCCCCAGTGGCCAAAGCAAAACAGAAAACATGACCGGTTACAAGATTCCTAATGACAGTTAGCGTGGGGCTTTGGTGGAAGCCTAATGGCCTGAGAACGTTTTTTTCTCTGTTCATTTATGCTTGGCTTTGTTCCGAATGCGGCTGGCTTGGCATTCAAGGCTCTTTCCAAGTTGATCCCAACCTTCTTGGGTCTCATATGTGGATGCAATAATCTGTGGCCTGGCCACACCGAATAAAAGCAACAGCCTCCATTTTTTTTTAGAGCTGCCGCCAGGGTGGCATACAGTTAGCCTAGAAAATATATGACCAGCCCTGAAATCCCAGCTCTGCCACAGACTAAGCTGCTCTGTGACCTTAGGTAAGTCCTTTCACCTCAATTTCCTCATCTGTGAAATGGGTACATTTCACAGATGTTCCTCATCTGTGAAATGGGTACATTTCACAGATGTACATTCAGAGTATGTACCTTATATTGTTGTGAAGGTGCAAGAATATGCACATGGCTTAGCACACGGTTGATGAGTCCATGAACAGGGTTTATTACCTGATTTTGGAACCTAGCCCTCCACTGAGCTGCCTACATGACTTAACTTCTCCAGGCTGCAGTCTGACTCTCCACAACACGAGGAAAAGAACCATTCCTACCCCATAACCCACGTACGAGGGCCTGGAAACAGAAGAGGCTGAGTAAGTGCGTGGAGGTTGCAGCCAGCCAGAATCATCTTCCCGGACAACCATTTTGCTTGTCCTTTAATTTTTCAAAACCAGTTCCATCCTCACTTTCCTTTTTCTCAGACTGATGGAGACAGAGGAGCCTGAACCCTCCTCACATGGTTGGGCTGTGATATCATAAAGGACACAGTCTGGTAATACACACACACACCCAGGGTCAGGGGACACGCAGCCCCCTGACGGGCCTGTGAGGGGACGGGATGCTTGGGTGGAGGAGGCTGGACGGATCCGCGGCTATGAGTCAGGCCCCGCTCGGCCGGGCGCCATCGTTCTCCTGTGCTTCAGGGGTGAGTTACAGCTCAAGCAAAACAACATCACCGCGCAGTGCCTGATGATACAAAACTACCTGACGAAAAAATGGATTTAGCACAAAATGCATTTCCCTACACTCTTAGGGAGGCAGCTAGACTTCCTCACGTGACAACAGTGTCCAGATATACAGATACCAGGAGCCGGCAGCCGGGGAGCGGGATCAGCAGTCAATACCTTTCTGAGGGGCTGGGAGGATGGGGTGCTGGGTGGTCTATCGCCTTCCCAGGCAGAGCTGCCTCTAAGCCAGGACAGTAAGGACATCGGCTGGATCCTGTCCCCGGGGTGGCCCCGTGCCCTCTCTCAGCCTCTCTGGCCTTGTTTCTCCTTTGGAACAGGGAGCTGGACTGGAGAGCTTCCCAGCTCTCAAACAACAGTCCGAGCAGACGAGGGGCAGGCTTCGAGGTCTCGTTGCCTGGATCGGAGGCCCAGGGGGCCATCGGCAGTTGCAGGCAGGAGACCCACCAGTGCTGCCACAGCCCCAGGTCCTGGGCTCGGGGCAGCCCTGGCACCAGCATCGTTGAAGCCAGGAATAGGGCTCCGGCTGTTTCCTGCAACCAGAAGGTCCGACGGCTCCCCTGGACCCGACTGCTCCGATCTCAGCCTTCCCCAGCCCCCCAGGCTGCTGGGCCATGTCACCAAATGACCAGGCCAGGGCTGACAAAGAAGAAGGGATCTGTTTCATCCTGCCCACCCCCCCCCCCACCGCCCCTGCCCACCCTGACCTCAGGCCTGGCGTCTCGCTCCTGGCCGAGCTGGCGGTATCCCTGAGTGCACGTAGGTTGTGGCCTGAATTGCCCCGAGTGACAAGGTAGACCCGGGCCCAGAGGCTCTGGGAGGGACCGGGGAGCGGCCCCCTGGCCTGGGTCAGCTCCCGTGGGTGGAGAGGGAGCTGGGGGCTGGCCCGGCTCCCTGCCCTCTGTAGCGTCGCTGCTGGCAGGCAGCTGTCTGCAGCCTCCTCAGCTGTTGCTGCAGAAACAAATGACAGCACTGAGGACGGAGAGAAAATAGGACTGAGCACAGAGGGAGTGGGGGAACTTGGAACGGGGGCGGGGGGGGGGCTGGTATTTTTCTTGGGGTGTGGTTTCTGCTCAGGGGCTGGGTGACCACGGAGGTTTGGAATGTGGTTGGACAGCGGGTGGGGTAGGGTAGGAGGGCTGGCCACGGCCAAGGAGCAGGGCCCGGAGCCCAGGGCCACCAGCGCTCAGCGCTTGGCCAGGATGGGGACCTGGGGTGGCACGGAGCCTGGCCTCCACCCAACACGAGTGCCCTGGTGCCCGAGGCCGCGGTTTTCAGAGGCCCCGGGAAGGGAGGCAGAGTTGTGAGGACGAGAGCACTTAGGAGAGAGGGCGAGGGGGAGACACGGGGGGACAGGATGGTCGCGTCTCATCTGTCCAAGTGGGGGCTGTGGTGACACATGGCCTGCCTGGTCCAAACTGGCTACTTAGGCAAGGGGTATGTTGTCTCTCTGAGCCTCCGTGTCCTCACCTGTTAAATGGGCTGAACTCTCTCTCTGCCTCCACGGGTGCTGCTGGGAGGGGAGGCGGGTTAGTGCTCGGGGGGGGGGGGGGGGGGGGGGGTGGTGGAAGCAGATTATTGCCCTGGGCGCTAAGGAAGCTTTCCGCTGGCTCTGCCAATGCCTAGCTCCCGCCCCCTCCCCCTTACATCCCCTCCGGCCCCCAATAAACATCTGCGGATGGAGTTCCTGCAGGAGCCGCTGTGAGAGCCCCGTCCCGCTCAGACCACGAAGTGCAGGGTGTAGGTGAGCTGGTGGCCGTTGTCCCAGGCGTACAGCACCCGCTCCTTGGGGTTGTAGTCCACCTGGGTGGTGTAGGCGTGCGCGTTGAGGAAGGGCAGCTGCGGGCGGGCGTCGGTGCCCGTGTGCGTGTCGAAGGCGTAGGCCACCTGGCCCTCGCGCCGGCTGTAGGCGTCCACGGCGTACAGGATGCCGCACACCAGGAAGCAGTTGCCGTAGGAGCCGCGCCGCAGCCGCGTCTTCCACGTGGTCTCCCGCTGCACCGACAGGTCGCCGGGGTCCAGGCGGCTCAGCACGATCACCGCGGGCTGCGCCCCGTCGCCGCCGTCGTCCGCCGCGGGGTAGATGACCCACAGCCCGCTCTCGTCCACCGCGAAGTCGACGTCCGAGTGGCCGCGCCACTTCCAGGGCGTGGTGTCCTCGTACACGGCGCCCGGCAGCAGCGCCCAGGAGGCCACGAAGCGCTGGCGCAGGTCGTACTTGATGATGTTCTTGGTGAAGGCGCGGCTGTAGTAGAAGGCGCCGCGGTACACCACGTGGCCCGTGCCCATCCAGTTGTAGGGCAGCTTGTACATGTTGCTCCAGCGGCCTGCGGGGGCGGGGAGGGCGGCGGGTCACGCCGGCCCCCAGCTCTCCCAGGGCCCCGGGAGGCCACCCCGGGCTCTGGGATGGCTCCCCGTGGTACTGAGTGTGCTGTGGGCCTGGGGCTGGACCTCCCGGCCCATCCCCGCAGTCCCTCCCGGCCCATCCCCGCAGTCCCTCCCACCCCACCCCATCCCATCCCCGCAGTCCCTCCCCCCCCCTGTCCCATCCCCGCAGTCCCTCCTGTCCCATCCCCGCAGTCCCTCCCGTCCCATGCCCCGCAGTCCCTCCCGTCCCATCCCCCGCAGTCCCTCCCGGCCCATCCCCGCAGTCCCTCCCGTCCCATCCCCCGCAGTCCCTCCCGGCCCATCCCCGCAGTCCCTCCCGTCCCATCCCCGCAGTCCCCCTAAGAGAGGACTAGTATCCCGTCTGCCCAGGAGGAAACGGGCCGACACCAGCCTCTGTGCTGTGGCTCATGCTGCCCCTTCTATCGGGACTGCCAGGCCCCATCCTGTCTGCCTGGGAAGGCCTCCTTGTCTCTCTGAGCCCTGAGCCAATGCTACCTCCTCCTCCCCGAAGCTTTCTCTGATCTCCCCAGCTGGAGCGAGGGCCTCTCCTCTGTCCTCCCGCACCTTCGCCTTTGCACCTTTCACTGGCTTTTGCGCCCCTCGGGGCAGGGACCAGGCCCGTTTGCTCTGGCAGAGGGACTTCAGCTGTGCCAGGTCACACTGTGACACCGCGCTCTCAGGGTAAGGCCTCAGCCGCTCTCTCATTCTACGCCCTCCTCCTCCCTCGGGGTCACAGTGCTCCTTCTCATTGCTGAGCCTTTGCATGCACTGGGCCTGTGCCCGGAACACCTTTCCTTCTCCTCTCTCTCCCCCTCCCCTAGGCTCGGCTCAGCATCGCCTCCTCCAGGAGTCTTCCCTGGCCTCCCAGCAGGGTGGCGACTGCCCCCCTGAGCTCTCCCTCCAGCACTGTATGAGCTAAAATTGTTTTAAGTCCCTGCCTTCTGAGGAAGACTGCAATTCTGCAGCATGGGCCATGGCTCAGTGACCCCTTCCACCCTTCTCCCCCCGTGCCCCAGATCTAATAACCACAATTCTGTCCTCCCTGCCCAGACCTGCCGCTCCGCGGAGGCCTGGGGCCCTGCTCACCCATAACAGGGTGGTAACCCCGGATTAGAAAGACAGCCTGCGCTGACTCACACAGGGGAGTCGCATGCAACACGCACCAGTGGCAACTAAGTACGGCTTCCCTGACAGGGAGCTGCCCTCCTGAGCACAGGGCCTGGGCCATCTTCTCTGTTGAGGCTTCTAGCTCCGGGCACGGTGCTAGCGCTCAGGGGGGACCCCAGACCCCCCTTCTCGGGGTGGCTGGCCATGTGGAGCTAGGCCAGGCTGGGGCAGTCTGGGCCACGGGAAACCACAAGGCAAGGAGGACCAGCCCTCCGTGGGGGACCCCGCCAGGCCCCCCGCCCCGCCCCGCGCCCCCACCTTGCTTGAAGTTCTCCAGGTTGCGGAACTCCACCAGGCTGTTCCCGTAGTAGTAGTTGGTGACGTAGATCCTGTCATCCTGCGCGGCCGGGTCCTTCATCCAGGCCCCCTCGTGGCGCCCGTAGCTGTGGTGCCTCACCGGGGGGTCCACGGCCCGCAGGGTGCCCTCGCAGCTGGCCTCCCTGCCTGCGGGGAGCGAGGGGGGCGGCATTTGGCACGCAGACCCACAGGCCCGAGTCCGAGCCACAGGCCTGGGGACGCTGTCGGGTCTAACCTAAACCCCTCCTGACGTTTCGTTTGCAGCCTCTTGTTTTTATTTCCCTCGTGATCAAAGCAATGTCTGATCATAGTAAAAAAAAAAAAAATAAAATAAAAATAAAAATAAAAACAGAATAGCTAGAACCGGTTTGGCTCAGTGGATAGAGCGTCAGCCTGTGGACTGAAGGGTCCTGGGTTCGATTCCGGTCAAGCGCATGTACCTGGGTTGCGGGCACATCCCCAGTAGGAGGTGTGCAGGAGGCAGCTGATCGATGATCCTCTCTCATCGATGTTTCTAACTCTCTATCCTTCTCTCTTCCTCTCTGTAAGAAATCAATAAAATATAAAAACAAAACACACACACACAAAAAAAACACACACAGAACATTCAGCAAAGGAGAAAATAAAACCATTCAGAGTTCATCGTCCAAAGAAACCTTCTAGCACGTAACATTTCCTTTCTTTCCTTTCCATGTACAGGTTTTCAAAGGAAAAACTATGGTTCTTCCGACGATAGCCTGTCTTTTTCCTTCCACTTGGCAATTTCTCCCATCAGTACATGGCCTTTCAATGATGTGACCCCACAGCTGTGCCCTGGAATTTATTAAACCAGGCCCCTCGGGGTCAGAGCTTTAGATCATGTCCAATGCTCTGACTTTAGAACTAGGCTGCGAGGAAACCAGTTTAAGCGGCAGCTGTTGTCCAAATTGCTGATGGAATCTTAGGAAAGATTCCTAAAAATGGCGTGTGCTCAGGCCCAAGGCGGCTTGCTGTCGAGGGCAGGCAAGATGCCCCAGAAGGATGGGCTCGATGGCTTACGGAGGAGGGTCTCTCCCGAAGGCACCAGCCGAAACCCACGTCCGTGTGCCTGAAAACGGGCCAGAGACGGGACACCGGAAATAACGAAGTGAAAATAGTTGTTGCATTTGATGAGGGGATCCTAGGTGACCGTTTAAAAAGAACTTACTGAGCCCTGGCCGGTTTGGCTCAGTGGATAGAGACTCAGCCTGTGGACTAAAGGGTCTCAGGTTCGATTCCAGTCAAGGGCACAATCCCCAGTGGGAGGCATGCATGAGGCAGCTAATCAATGATTCTCTATCACCATGGATGTTTCTATCTCTCTCTCCCTTTCCCGTCCTCTCTGAAATCTATCTACCCCTGTTTCCCTGAAAATAAGACAGTGTCATATTAATTTTTGCTCCCAAAGATGCGCTAGGTCTTATTTTCAGGGGATGTCTTATTTTTCCATGAAGAAGAATATGGTACACATTTATTGTTAAATGAAAATAAAGGAAATTTATTACCTGTATACGGTACAGTAGTACAGTAGTTGTCAACACAAACCAGACAAACTGTGAATCCTACAGTATCAAGAATTTACTCATTTATTCAATGACAATCTTCTGGAACATCATCATAACAATCCAATTCCTGAATTTCCTGGTGAATTTCTTGTGACTCCATTTCTTTCATAATCAGTGGACCAAATCTCTCATGTTTAGCCTGAGGGGGGCCTTATTTTTGGGGGGATGCCTTATATTTCACTCAGAAGGAAACCTGTAAGTAGGTCTTATTTTCGGAGGATGTCTTATTTTCGGGGAAACATGGTATCTATCTTTATTTATTTATTTTATTTTTAAAAATTATATTCTATTGTTTTTTTTTACAGAGAGGAAGGGAGAGGGATAGAGAGTTAGAAACGTCAATGAGAAAAAAACATCAATCAGCTGCCTCCTGCACACCCCCTACTGGGGATGTGCCTGCAACCAAGGTACATGCCCTTGACTGGAATCGAACCTGGGACCTTTCAGTCCGCAGACCAACGCTCTATCCTTTGAGCCAAACTGGGTTTGACATATGTGTGTGTGTGTGTGTGTATTTTTTAAACTTGTTGAAAATACCTGTTGCATTGTAAATGTTGTTACAGCTTTTTCTGTAAGGATCAGATGGTAAACATTTCAGGTTCACCAGACCACATACTTTTGCCCCATCTTCTCCTTTTTTTCAACAACCCTTAACGATGTAGAAACAGCTGGAGAAAACAGACTGCAGGCTGGGCCTGGCCCTTGGGCGTAGGCTGTGACCCGGGAGGCTTACTCACCTTGCCTGGGGACTTCTGGGTGTGAGGGTGGCTCGGTGGGCAGGGGACTGGTGGTGGGAGCGGGGGTTGGGGTGACGGCTGGCTTCGAGGAAGGGGTGCCAGGGGCCACGTCCACTCCCTCCGTAGCCCTGGGCCCAGCCTCCTCGTGTTCGGCAGAGTTGGGCTCTGGGGGCCTGCCCTCCTCCCTGGGCGACAGCTGCTCCAGCCAGGCGGTGCCCCTGAGGGCGTTGTCTGCGGAGAGAAGAGCTGAGCTCACATCCTGCAGCACCTGCTGCCCGGCTCCCCCCCAGGCCGGCGGGTGCCCCGCGCTGGGCCGGGCCGAGCGGGGGACAGGGGCGGCCAGGGGAGGGAGAGGCCTCGGAGAACGGGCTTTGTGGGCAGCAGACCAGCTCGGAGCCCCCAGCCGAGGGGCCTCGGCTTCCCCCTCTATGAAGTGAAGGGCTCCCCGTGGTAGGCTGCTGTGCCGATTATGGGAAACGGAGTCCATCTGCACAGATTCTGCCAAATACAAGACCGCTTTCCTCCCAAGTGTCAAACCCACTGTGCCAATTATTTCATTTCCTGGATTCCGTTCCAGAGGCAGAAAGCCCTCTCCGGACATTCTCCCAGCCCTGTCCCCCAGAACCCACCCTCTGGCTTCTCTTACAGACCCAGCCCCCTGTCTTCCTCTGTCCCCTCACTCATTTCCCAGCTCTCAGCTTTCTTGGCAACCCCTTCCCCGTGTTGCCCATCCCTGCTGGCATGGGCTTTGCTCACAGGAGGCCTTTTTCAGCATCTGTGGGCTGAACTGTGGTTTGGAGCCTTCCGGGTTACCCCTGACCCACACACTTCTCGGGGCTGGGTTGGACGGGGTCTGGAGAGCAGGCTCAGTGACACACAGAAAGGGACAGAGGCCCCTCAGCTCTGGGGACAGAGCTGCGAAGGGGTCCTAGGCAGGCTCTGCAGCCTGCTGACCCGGGTTCCAGTCCCAACAACTCACTGTGAGACGTGGGGCCAGCCACTTGGCCTCTCTGAGCTTGGGGCACATGGGTCGGGATGACATGGGGTGAAAGTACAAAAAGCTGTGGTGCCGGGACAGAGGAATGGCGGTGCTGCTGTGATGGAGGGGGGTGCACTGAGGCCCCGTGACTCCAGGACCTGATTCCTTCCTGTCCCGGGCTTCCTCTCTGCGCAGTGGTGTAACCACAACTCACTGCAGGGCAGCCCCTGACGTGTCTCAGGAATGGGGGCTCAGCCTCTGGCCGGGGGGCCTCCCGGGGGCCTGGCTTGGGCAGCCTGCCAGGGCAGGGGGCTTGTTCCCACAGGCCTTGCTGGCAGAGTCAGATGCCTGCAGCTGTTCTTGGGCAGTGTCCCGGCCAGAGGTCAGAGGCCCCGTGCCGCCCAGGCTGAGCTGGCAGGACTCAGGGCCAGCAGCTGGCACCGGGGGCTGAGGAGGGGGGGGGTCTCTCCTGAGCCCTGAGAAACCAAGAATCGAAGGGGCTCTTGAAGGAGGCAGGCTCCTCACAGTTCCACCTCCCAGCTCCCATGGACGTGGGCTGGGCACAGGGCCGCATGGAGGAGGCGGTCAGCAGGACCCAGGCAAGGGGAGCAGCTTGGGACATTCTCAGGGACATCAGAGAAGAGCAGGCTCCTGCAGAGGACCTTGGAGGGAGAGTCAGGAGCCACACGAAGGGAGGTGGCCCAGAAATTTGACTACACTTGGAACTTTTGTCTCAAAGTAATTACTTTGTTGTCCTTCACGGTGATCCATCAGGGGCCACAGGGAAAATTGAGGTGTCTGTGGGCTCTTCTTTGGGGAGAGAAGAAGGGGGAGGAGCTGGAGAGGCCATCCAGCCAAGGCCATTCTGGAAACAGGAAGGGTCCCAAAGGGCCCAGGTCACTTTTTAAGAGTCTCACGCTCTACTGACTGCGCTAGCCGGGCACCTGCCCCACGTCACTTTTTAGAACCCGGGCCTTGCTGCAGCCCCTGCGTTCTCTCACCCCACCTGTGGCAGCTGCCTGCTCATGGATTCAGTTTTTCCCACTAGACTGTGAGCTCCATATTAGGCAGAATCTCTGGGCAATACAGCAAGTGCACAGTGGACCTTCAGCAAATCTTGGAATGAAGGAGGAGACGTCCAGAGAGGGTGGAGATGGCTGTGAATCTGGGAAGGAACTGAGTGGCCCATTGTGTTGATTCCAGCATCTCCCCCACAACCCCACGAGGGGATGTTATCCCATTGTGTGCTTGAGCAAAGGGCACCAACGGGTGACCAGTGGAGTTGAAGTTTGGGACTACAGAGGAGACCCTGGACCCCTGTGGGGCATCCGTGGGCTGTGGCCAGCCATCCGCAGGCGTCTCTTCCAAAGGTTTCAATCCCCCCCACAACTCACCAGCCTCGGCCGCCTCCCTGCTGCCCGCCTTGTAGTAGGTGATGCCTCGGATCACCGCCTGCTGCTGGGCCAGGGCCCGGGGCCTGCCCGTGGGCTGGGGGAACCGGCCCTGGCCACCGTCCTTTCTCAGCTTCTCCACCTTCAGCAGCTTCTCCTTAGGAGGTTTTGGGAGGGCCCTGTCTGCAAAGCTCTTCTGCGTGCTGCTGTATTTGCTGCTGTCTCTGCCTTTCCCTCCAGCTGTGTCCTAGGAGAGAAGGGAAACCTCAGGCTTCGGGCTGGTGGAAGGGATATTGTGGGGGTGTCATGGAGGCTCAGCGTGTGGGGGCTGGAAGTTGTCATGTTGCTCTAAGCCAGTGGTTGGCAAATGGCAGCTCGCGAGCCACATGCGGCTCTTTGGCCCCTTGAGTGTGCCTCTTCCACAAAATACCACAGTCTGGGCGAGTCTATTTTGAGGAAGTGGGGTTAGAAGAAGTTTAAGTTTAAAAATTTGGCTCTCAGAAGAAATTTCAATCGTTGTGCTGTTGATATTTGGCCCTGCGAACTAATGAGTTTGCCGACCCCTGGTCTAGGCCATACATCACAGGTGCTCAGAGCCATAGCTTTCCTCCCACGGTGGCCACCTCCACGACCGGGGTGCACCTGTTTCCCCGCTCAGCTCTCTAGCTCCCCTGCAGGCTTGAAGGCCAGCCTGGTGGGTTAGATTCCTGACCCATTTCCTAAGTCCTATACACTCCCCCAAAGGGGTGGACTGTCATAGCTTCTCATCTCTGTCTCTCTCGCTCATTGGTCTTTGTTTATGGGCAGAGGAGAAGTTCTCAGGCCCCTAGGCAAGGTGACCAACTCCTCCCAGTGTGCCTAGAATGTTCCGAGTTTCAGCACTGAAAGTCCCGCATCCTGGGAGCCCTTCAGTCCTGGGCAGACTGGCACAGCGGGCACGGCTGGCCACCCAGGCATTGCCCCGAGGGCATGCAGTTTCTAACGTTTTGTCAATTTTGTCCTTTTCCCTTTCTTTTAAGTGGCCTTGTGCTGGCTTGGCACAAGAACACAGGGCCTGTGACGTCTGTGAGGCCGGGCAAGGACAGGCCCTGGCCCTCTGCGTGGTCCATTCGCGCCTGTGGAGCTGGCAGGAGAACAAGCAGAAAGCCAGCTCCGGGCCAAGGCTCCAGCCCGAGGCGGTTCTGGTTCAGACGCCAACGGCCCCGTCATCATGTCAGTGCAGGAGGCCGAGGGCGGCGACAGAGAGCAGGGGCTCGGCAGGCACAGGACCCGCTCTGGTCCCAGTACCGACCCCAAAAACAAGGCCTCCGTGAGTGGTGCGGTGACCGGCGAAGGGGCACGAACGGGGCTGAAATCTGGTCTCACTCCTTTAGCCAAGCCACACACCTGGTGTGTCAGTCAACGGAAGGAGCCTTTGTACAGTCTGTCTGCTCGAAGGGGCTACGCCTTCTCATTCATCTGCCCAGAGGGACTCCCTTCCCCTCAGTGTTTGCCTGCAGAAGGGCCTTTGCCAAATGGGCACAACAATGTGTTCTACGTTCAGGGCAGCTGTGCCTGGGACAGACCTCTGCTCCCTCTGTGCTCTGAGCTTGGACACGGGATGCCTGGGGGTGTGCTGCCGGAGTCCTTCCCCCCAGGGTGGGCTGGATGACGTGGCGTTACTGTGCGGCGATCCCCGAGGCATTGCCCATCTACCCCTGAGCAAACCTGACCCAGACAGCGGCCCGGCCGCAGCTGGGGTGGCTAGAAGTGGTTTGCTGCAACAGACCTGGTCTCCCAGGGCCAGGCGGGAGGGTCATCTCGAGGACCCTGTCCCCACAAGTTTGGAAACAGGAATGAGAATTCTGCCAAGTGCATGGCTCAGGCGGCAGACCCCCCCTCAGCTAGATCGTTGCGTCTGCTCCCAGCTCACATGGCCAGTTGTGCTCACTGCATAGCGGGCACCCTCTGCACCCTACCTTGCTATCTGTACCCCACTCTGCCATGGACGCGCCAGCCCTCAGCCCTGTCCTACACCCCGGACCCACCCAGATGCCTCAGGGCGGAGGCCCTGGCACCCTGTGCTCCCAAGCCCACCCACAATCAGAGCCCTGGCCTCACCTGTGCCTTGCTGCCAGGCCCGGGGGCGGGGCCGGGGGCAGCGGCGGGGGCTGTGGGCACGTCCTTCTGCAGCAGCTGGTGGCCCAGGCTGGAGAGCTCCTTCTTGATGCTCAGCATGATGGCCGACTGGTTCTCGTAGTGCTTCAGCTGCTCGCCGAAGTGGCGCATGCTCTCCCTCATCACCTCGTTCTCCCGGCTCAGGTTGGCCTTGATGCTCTGTGGGGGGCGGACCCGAGGTCTTTCCAGTCTCCCCTGCTGGCCTGCCCCCCACCCCTCCTCCTGGGGGGGTCACCCAGGCTCCTGCCATCGGGCTTGCCTGCCCAGGCTCATGGGCAGGGGCAGCCCCGGCGAGCAGGGCTGGAATAAAGCATGCTGCCGAAAGACCCTGTTCTTTATTTAAAAAGGGAATGAATGAAAAACTAGATGAACTATGCTCCCAGGGCTAAATTAAGAAGATACAAGCGGGTATAAACTATGTCCCCCTCCCACTTTTGTTTCTCAGCCAATTCTTATGGATTTTCCTTTTTCCTCCCCTAACGCTTCGCCTTTTCACTTGAGCCGATCTTGAGAACGCTCCATGTTTGTGTATGTAGTGCTGGCCATTCCTTAACTGAATGCACAGTCTGCCACTGTAGAAATTCGTCCTTTAAGTTGCTACTTTAAAATTACCTCTTAATGTCACAAGAGATACATAAATACCTTCTTTTCATAAAATGCTCAAATAATGAAACCCTTCGGGGTTTAGCGATGGGTGAGGTGAGACTGATCTCCCCTGGTTCCCCAGTCTCCGACTTCTCTCTAGGGTGACGCTGGCTCCTCCCACTGCCCTGAGCGCCTGCCCGTTTACTCCCAGGTTTCTGCTCCTGCTCGCCTGTCTCCCACTTGCTGGGGACCCCACCTGGTTTTAGCAGCCCCCACCCACCCCCTCATGGTCCTTGGCTCTGAATCCTGCTGGAAACAGGGCTGCTCAGAATAGCCGCGTTTTCTCTGTGGATCCCCCAACCCAGGGATCCCCATCGCCATGCTGTGGCCCAGGCTGTGGGCCAGGCTGTGGCCCAGGCTGACCTTGTTCAGTGGGCAGGACTCAGGGAAGCTGGGCGGCCTGGTACCAGCCCCAAGCCCCTAGAGCCCCAGCAGGTGTGGATACGTATGGGATTCCTCTGTCAAGTCTACTGCTCAGCTGAAGCAGGAGACATGAGAGTCAGATGCAGGAAGCACCTCTTTGCTGCGCAGCCCTGGAGCGGCAGAATCTCGCTGACGGACATGTTTACGGAGGAGGAGATAGCCTGGGACCAAGAGGCAGCAGGCAGGAGTCGGACAGAGCTGGGTTCAAATCCTTGCTCTCCCCTTCCTGGCTGAGTAGCCTTGAGCTGGTGACTTTACCTCTCTGAGCCTCCATGTCCTTGCCTGTTAGATGAGGATCTTGGTCATAGCCACTAAATATCAGGGTGACGCACAGAGACACTAGGAACAAGAAAGTGCATTCTAACCTAGATCACCTAGAACAGTGGCCGACAAACTCATTAGTCCACAGAGCCAAATGACAACAGTACAACGATTGAAATTTCTTTTGAGAGCCAAATTTTTTAAACGTAAACTCTATAGGTAGGTACATTATTATAAACTTAATTAGGTTACTCCTAAGCTGGCCTTTGCTAAACACTCAAGGGGCAAAAGAGCTGCATGTGGCTCAAGAGCCACAGTTTGCCGACCACTGGCCTAGAAGGCAGAAGTCAACCTGTACAAGGTGAGTTTCTCAGCCTCAGCAACTGCTGACATTTGTCAGGCAGCTATGAATTGTGTGTGTGTGGGGGGAGGGGGGGGAGGTGTCCTCTGCATTACTGTGCAATACAGGGTGCTTAGCCCCATCCCTGGCATCTACCCAACTAGAAGCCAATAAATAGCATCCGCCACCCACTCCCCCAAACTGTGACAACCAAAAATGTCTCCACATACTGCCAACTGTCCCCCCTGGGGAGCAAAGGGCCCTGGTTGAGAACTTCTGTTGAAAGGGAAGATGGAGAGGGAGCCAGCTCCTCCGAGGGAGGCTGTGGCCCCCAGCCCTCCCGGGCTAGCAACAAACTTTTCCTATCACTTAGTGAACAGAAGCAAAGCACAGATAATGCAAAACAGGAGCGAATTAAGCAGCATTTCCCCGTGGCTGTGGAAATCATTTCTGATTTGTTCCAGGCCCAGCAGCCTTCCCCTCCAGATTGTCTGGCTCGCAGTTGTGTGAAGTGAGTTAACATTTCCTTAGATTACAAGCAGAAAAATCAAAGGATAACTGCTGAGTCGGCAAGAGGAGAGCCTGGCACGTACCAGGCGCACAGGAAACATGGGTGCCCGGTGGAAATTCCGTCGGGATTGCCTTTCTCCCGTGTTGGCAGAGGCCTGGCACACAGCAGATACTCACCAAACACTCGTTGAGCAATTAAAGCCACTGTGGCCCCGACTTTGGGGTTGGCAAGGGGTTAATCTCCCACCCTGGGCACAGGATGGCCAAGTGCCCCTCCCTCTGGAAAGGAAGCTGGGAAAGGAAGCTCCTACGCCCGCTCCTGGCAGCTGCCTGTCCCAGGCTCCCAGCAGAGGCCGGATGCAGGAAACAGGCGGAGGCCAGGCCATGCCAGCAGAGATGCAAACCTCGAGCCTGCAGCCTGGAATGCCTGCTCGCCAGCTCTGTCCCTGTCCTCAGGGGGCAGTCCTAGCTGCCTGCCAGTCCCCCAGCCCAGTTGCTCTGATCAGGAGAAGACCCTGTCTCCGTGGTCATGGCAGGTGCCTTGAGCCTGGCCGCCAGGGGTTCAGCCAGTCTCGGGGCATCTTCGTGATGCACCATCTCAGGGGAGCACCACTCACGTGGCATTTATGAGAAGGGTGGCCCCGAATTTTGCAAAGTGTGGGTCCTGGTCTTGGTGAACTGAGGGCAAGAGCAAGTTCCATCCCCCTCCCCACCCCTTTCCTATCGGCAGCAGGTGCCTCCGTTCCTCCACCCAGCCTTCCGGCTTCCTGCAGGCTTTCAGCAGCCACCGGGGTCAAGGCAGACTCTGCCCAGGCCCCCAGCACGGTGCCAGCCCCACTCTTACCTCTTCCAGCGTGTCCATCTGGGAGGCCACCTTGTGGACATAGGCGTGCACTCTCATCAGGTCCATGCTGTACAGGGTGCCCTCCAGGAGGTCCACCATGGACTGCAGCTGCCGGGGAGCGGGGGGCGGGGGGAGGTTAGGGGAGGGCAGAGCACAGGACCCAGCATGAAGGGTGCGCAGAGTCCCACCTCGGCGCAGAGTCCAGGGTCTCAGATGGCCTGCGTGGCCCCCAGCACCCAGCAGACCCCGCCTGTTAATAATCACGAGAAAAGCAGCAGAGTCCGTCTTCTGAGCGCTCACCACGTGGCAGGCACGGAGTGAGGGGCTTTATGGGCTATTTCACACAATCCTCCCAGCACCCCCAGAGGTGTGCGTGGCAGCCCTAACCATTACCTCCTGGGGTCCCTCCTACAGTTTCCTGTGCCCATGCCAGGCTTCCAGGGGTCTCCCTGGACCGGCCTGCCTCTGTGACTCTTCAAAAGCCACTTTGCCCCCAGAGTGTCCGCGAGCATATGTCCTCCTGGCCATGCCTGACTGGTGTGGGCACCCAGGGGCCAGCTGCCTAGTCCCAGTGGAATAACTGAGCCATCGTTCATCCTCCAGCGTCCCCTGGGGCTGAGGCGGGCACCTGGCCTGGGACCACAGCCCTGCTGGGCTGCCTTCCCTCCTGCCCCCATGTCTCCCACTTTGGCACCAGCTGCTCCTGGGAGCACTTCCATTATAAGCCACCCGCACACAGACCACTCGCCTCAGGGTCTGTTCTAGGGACCCACCCAGAGACAGGGCTTGGACACCTTTGGTCTTCATCCTAGAAATTGGGAAGCTGCAGCTTAGAGAGGGGAAGTGACTGCTCCAGGCTACCCAGGTGCCCTATGGGAGAGCCTGGAGCACAACCCTGCTTGGAAATACCCACGCCTCTTTCCTCTCATGCTTTACTGCTCCTGTTTTGTGCTCAAACTGCGGATAAGAAGGAAGGGGGTGGGGCCTGAACAACAGGTTAGTGGCCGATGCTGGGTCTCCCCAGGGCTGTTCACCATAGCTGTCCCTCCCCTGCGCCTCGCTCCCACACCTCACCAGGATATGACATTTCCCCCCAGAGGGCTAGGATGACAGCCAGTGTCAGGGACACCTTGGCACCAGGGGCTGGCTGGGAAATCAGCTCCCCTGGCTTCTCCGCCCTCCAGCACGGCCCCACCCCCAGCCCTGGAGCCTTTCTCAGGCCCGAGCAGGCCGGCTCTCCCAGCGCTCCCGTCTGGCCCTGGCCCACTGTTTCCAAAACAGTCTTATTCCCATTCCCCCAGGGGTATTCAGGCTCTTTGAGGTGGAGAGCTTTTCTCTGAGTAGACTTGCTCTCTAAAACAGAAGAAAGGGGGTGGGGACTCTGATGGGAGCAGGGGAAGAGCTTTGAGTCCTTGCTGCTCCCCTACAACCTTGCTCAGGCCATGAGGTTGCCCAGTACCCGGAAGGCTTGGTGGAGCATAGTGTGAGAACCGTGCGCCTAGATCCTCCTGTGCCTCGGCTTCCTTCTCTGTGAAATGGGCCGATAGGATTGTGAGGAGCAGTGACCTGGACAGGGCTCAGCACAGAGTGAGCACACAGCAAGGGCCTCATGGATATCAGCAATAATGACTACTGGCCAGGGGGTGCATGGGCCCCTTCCAGCATCACTCTGCTGACACCAAAACCGGCTGCCTAGCCTGGCCAGTTTGGCTCAGTGGGTAGAGTGTCGGCCTGCAGACTGAAGGGTCCCTGGTTTGATTCCGGCCAAGGGCAAGTTAGGGGGCATGCAGGAGGCAGCCAATCAATGATTCTTTCTCATCACGGATGCTTCTATCTCTCTCCCTTCCTCTCTGAAATCAATAAAAATATATATTTTTTAAAAAACAAAACACTGACTTCCTAAAGCTCAGCTATGACCACAAGGCTCTCTCCCCTGTGGATAACTCCTGTGGCTCCCCACTGCTCACAGGTGACATGTCATCTCCTGAGCCTGGCATCTGCACCCTCCTTGATCTGCCCCTGCTACCCTCCTCAGCCTCAGCAAATGTCCTTAGGGACAGGCACGAAGGACAGTGATGAGCAAGACAGACACACGGTCCTTCAGAGGCCGGCAAGGAATGCGGAGAGTAACCGAGGGGTGCCCGGGTCTGAGAATGCAGACGGTGACACACAGGTGCCCAGCACATTCATGGGAAGGTGTGACCTTGTCCGGGAGCGGGTAGGAATTAGTCAAGTCTGCCGGGGAAGAAGTTTTGCTTGAGCTGAGCGCCGAGAAAGCACAGGCGGCGGGAGGAAGGCATTCTAGGCGAAGGGAACAGCTCGTGCAAAGAGCTGGCGGTGGGGAAACACGGTGTGCTCAAGCCGAGCTATGCCAGCACCCGGCCAACCTGCTCCTTACCGCTCTGAGATACAAAGGTTCTAAAAGCGAGAGAGGCGTTTATAAGGCTTTTGCAGCATTTGGCAGAGCAATTTTATATGGTGACTCTCAATGATCAAACATTGGACTTGTACTGTGCATGTGTATTTTTGTTTCATTTTTTCTAAGAATTAATTTGTAGAGTATTTTACAAAAGAATTGGTTCTTGACAGGTGTTTGTTGTTTTTGTTTTGTTTTGTTTTGTGTGTGTGTGTGTGTGTGTGTGTGTGTGTGTTTTAACAACTGGCCTTTCACCATAGATAGCTTGAGGAGCACTGTGTTAGAGACACAGGCGGCTTGTGGGGCTGAAGCAGAGAGGGCAGGGAGGCATCCCGTGCCACACAAAATGCTCTCACCCAGAATGCCTGGATTTCCGCTCTGCCTGAGACACTCCTACACAACCCTCAAAGCCCACGTCTAATGCTACCTCCTCCTCTTGGTTCCCATGGTCCCTGGGGCATCCCCCGACCCAGCACCAATCGCACTGCCGTTATGGGGTCAGGAGCTATGTCCTCAGAAGACCGGGGATTCCTCAAGGGTGGGGCTAGATCTGCTCTGCGTTCAAGGGAGGGGAGTGAAGAGGTGAGAGGTATACCCTTGCAGCCAACCTTCCCAACAAAAGGAGACCTGGAACCCCCTCCCTCCTGCTCAGGACCAAGTAACCAAGGCCAAACCAGAGCTGGATTCCTTAGCTTGAGGAGGAGGGATTGGTAGGGATGAGGGGTGGGTCTAAGGCAGCGGTGCCCTCTACCCTCCCCATGGGCTTCCTCTAACTTCTCCTCGGGGCTGCCCACAGAGCCTCCTGCTGAGGGAGGGAGAGCCAAGCCAAACGGAGCAGCCTCAGCTCCATGTCATACTTTCCCTGCCTCCTTCTCCTCTTGGGGTCCTAGGGTATTAATGAGGCAGAATATCTTCTCTGCTTCCTACAACCCCACCTGCTGCCACCCTGCTCCAGTCCTTTAAGGCTAAATGAACCCCCCCGTGGACTCCTGTGTGCCAGGGAGCCCTCCCATGGCAAGGGGGCACAGCAGAGAATTCCTGAGCTCACATCCTAGTGCTGCCCACTTCTTGCTGTGTGATCGTAGGCGAGTCACAGTCTCTCTCTGGGCCTCAGATTCCTCCACTAATGAAGCTGAGACCACACATTCCCTCTCCAAGAGGTGTGGTGAGGACTGCGTTCGCCAGCTTTTATGGAAGGTTTTGAGTAGCCTCACATCCAGTGGTTTGGAAGCTAGTTAGTTATTGGGAAGTGGACTGGAGCAGAAGTTGCATTTGTCCCGGAGCTGACGACTGGCCTATGGCTCCTGGGCCTGGAGTCTGCAGTTGTCCCCCCCCCCTCCATCCCCCATGCTTCGGCCCCCCACTCCTTCCCTGCCGGTGACGCCCCAGAAGGCCGTGTGGTCCAGGGGCCACTTAGCTTCAAAGTCAACAATCCTCCCACCCCCACCCCAACTTTGAGAGTTTTGGTATCCATTCAATTGTTACAATAATAAACTAAAGGTAAAGGTAAGGAAAACATCTTTAGCCGAATGTGGGGAGACAATTCTTGCTTTTCTGCGTGTGTTGTGTGGGGAGGCACTGGCCGTCCTTGTCCCGGGCCATCTGGTCGTACAGGGAACAGCCTTGGAACACAGGGGCGGGGAGTCTCCAAGTTGGGACACCTCTTTTGGAAAACACCCCAGTCTGCACAGGTGCCATCTGGCCCTCACTCTGTCATACCGCCCTGCGGGAATTGGAGGGGGAGAACAGGGCGAGAAGATGTAGAAACTCTGGCTGCTCTGAGCAATAAAGCCCTTTGTTTCTGACCCAGGAGGCTCGTGTTTTCTGCCAGCATCCGTGAGAATTGTTAGCTGATAAGGAGGGTAACAAACAGCTCAGTCAACTTCACAATGCACGACGCCCACATGTTTGGAAGAAATGGTAAGATAAAAAGATACTCTTAAAAGCACCAATTTGCCGAAACCGGTTTGGCTCAGTGGATAGAGCATCGGCCTTCGGACTGAGAGGTCCCAGGTTCGATTCTGGTCAAGGGCATGTACCTTGGTTGCGGGCACATCCCCAGTAGGGGGTGCACAGGAGGCAGCTGATCGATGTTTCTCTCTCATCGATGTTTCTAACTCTCTATCTCTCTCTCTCCCTTCCCCTCTGTAAAAAAAAATCAATAAAATATAAAAAAATATATAATTTTTTTTTTTTTTTTTTTTAAGCACCAAGTTATCCGGGCTGGGCCATTCCAAAAGGCAAACAAAAGAGCACCGTGGTTCAGAACAGCTCTGGGCCCAGCAGGGCGGGGGTTCAATCCCCCAGCCCGCTGAGCACCGAGGGGAGCAGTACAGATGGCACAAAGGGGCCCAGCGGGGGACTGATCTCGCCTGCACATGCCCACCCACGCCGTGGTCGCTGCTGGCACGGGCTGTGCTGTGACCCCGAGCGCTGGTGCTTCTTTCTAATCTGCCTGTGGCGTGGAGGTGGCGAAGGTGTGAGCACAAAATTCACGTAAAGGATGCTACAGGCTGAGGCTGCACGTCATTAGGTGAGAGCTCGGGCCAGTGATCTAACCTCTCCACAGCTCCGCGTTCTTTTCTTGAGGACAAAGACCCTGTATGTCATCGAACGGCTTAAACATGTAGAGGAATAATCTGTACAAAGAGCTTAGCACAACATCTGGCATGCAGGTGGTACTTGAACGTGGGAAATATTATTACTAATTTAAAACAATAAAAGGTAAAAAATAAAAAATGTAAAACGCCATGGAGAGGTGCCGACAGACGAACTGGTTTGGGTAAAATACAGAACCTCGGACCGGATGGTCGGAGGCTATAGATTCAGGTAAACGAGCCAGAGAATGCTGCCTCCGTCCCTCCTGACCCCATGGTCCTGGGCAGGGAGCCTGTTTCCCCGCCTGTGAAATGGGATGGTCACAGCACCTGCCTGGGGGCCCGTGACCGTTTCCCTGGCCGCACTGCCTGTTGCCAGCCCATGCTGGGTGCCCCTCCAGGGGGCGTTCCCACCCCCACGTCCCCACGCTCACCCCCGAAAGCCTACCTTGAGGAGCTCGGGCGCCTGCTTCTTGAGCTTGTCCATCTTCCACTCGTTCTCGCAGGGGTTGAGGGAGGAGGGCGGCGCGGTGCAGGAGCAGCGGCAGTCGGACCCGGAGCTCACGGTCTCCACGGTGTAGAAGTCCTCCACGCGCGCCCGCCCGCTGCGCACCCGGCTGCACGCGTCCTTGCTCAGCGGCCGCATGATGCACTTGCAGCGGCAGTCCGAGCCCTCCGAGGTCATCCGCACCTGGTCCACCTCCCCGAAGACCTGCAAAGGGGCTCCGTGAGCCAGAGGCCCCGGCTGGGGGAGGAGGGGGAGAGGAGAGGAGAGGAAGGGGGAGCAGAATCCTGCCGCCCCCTCCCCCACCTTCGTGAAGGCGGTTAGAGGTGGCTGAGAAGCTAGCACGCACTCCAAGGAAATAGAGGGGTGCTAATAACGCTGATTAAAATATTAACAGCCGCTATGGAAAACGATTGGACCGTTCCTCCATAAGTAAAATGTAGAACTACCATATGACCCCGTAAAAGAACTGAAGGCAGGCATTCCAAGTGTTGGGCGGGCACGTTCATAGCAGCCTACAAGGTGGGGACAGTGCGAATGCCCACCCGCTGCTGCTGGATAAATAAAATGGGGTACACCCACACCGTGGAATCCTATTTCGCCATGAACAGAATTAAGTGGCGATACATGCGAACACATGTATGCTCAAGGAAAGAAGCCAGACATAAAAGCTGATGTATTGTATGATTCCGTTTATATGTTTTAAAAATATATATTTTATTGATTTTTTTACAGAGAACAAGAGAGAGGGATAGAAACATCGATGAGAGAGAATCATCGATCAGCTGCCTTCTGCACACCCCCTACTGGGGATGTGCCTGCAACCAAGGTACATGCCCTTGACCGGAATCGAACCCGGGATCCTTCAGTCCATAGGCCGACGCTCTAACCACTGAGCCAAACCAGTTTCGGCTGATTCCGTTTATATTAATACCCAGAAGAGGCCAATCCAGAGGCAGAAAGCAGAGTAGTGGTTGCGGGGACTTAGCGGGAGGGAAAGTGGGGAGTGATTGCTTAATGGTCCTGCGCTTTCCTTTCCAAGAAAATGTTCTGGGACAAAGGAGTGGTGGTGCTTGCACCGCACTGTGAATGCACTAAGCGCCACGGAATTGTATACTTTAAAATGGTTAAAATGGCAAGTTCTGTGTTATGTGTTTGTTACCGCAACACTAAAAACTGTGGAGACCTTTGATTGGGCGCTTACCAGGTCCCAGTTTTCATGTGCATGCACCCGTGAACAATGCCTTTTGTACAGAGGGTGTTGTTATCGCCAAAGTCCTTACTCTGGCCTTCAAGGCCTACGTGAACTGACCCCCGTCCCTCAACCCCTCCTCTCGCCACCCTTTCCTTCACCCACGCCAGCCTCAGGACCTCTGCAGACATGGTGCCCTCATCCCGAAACCCTTATCTCCCTGCTATTTCCTTGGCTCACTCCCTCCAATCACTTACACCTCACCTCCTCCAAGAAGCCTTCCCTGACCACCCACCTCCCGTTACTCCCTGTCCCTTTACCTAGTGTCTTTTTCCTTATTGTACCCATTCCCATCTGAAATATTGTGTGTGTGTGTGTGTGTGTGTGTGTGTGTGTGTGTGTGTGTGTGTGTTGGTCTCCCCTCCTCTGCTGAAGGCACCATCAGAGGCAGGGACATTGTCTAGTTCCCTTGTATATCCTCAGAGCACGGCCTGCCTGGTTTGGAGGAGGAGCTCTGTAAATATCTGCGGGACCAGCAGGCCTGTATTTTTCAGACACACCGGAGCACAGAGCTAAGAGCCTGGTGTCTGGAGCCTGCGTTAGTACCTGTGAGCTTATGGGCCACTCAGCCTTCCTGTGCCTCTGTTTCCTCCTTTGTGGACGGGCCCCTGCCTTGCGGGGTTGTTGTGAAGATTAAATGAGCTCACGTGGTCAAGAACAGAGCCTCGCACCCACTGTGTGTGTCTTCAGTGTGGGTCGTTATTAATACAGCTAAAGAAACAGAGGCTCAGAAGGTGAATGCGCATGTCTGAGGTCCCACCGCTTTGATGGGAAAGATCGAGCTGCAGACCTGACTTCGGATCGAAATCACTGGGCTCTGCTGCTTCTGTAGGCCTGTTCCCCCACACCCTGTGTGACCTTAAACAGGTTACACAACCTCTCTGAGCCTCCTTCCCTCCGTGGGAAAGTGGGTGACTCCATACCCAGCCTCCTGGCAGTGAAGATCCAATGAGGTAACATGACCTCCGTTTTGTGGCTTCCCTCGCCGCCTCCCTTTTCTCTCGGTTCCCCTGGGAGGCTGCCCGGCCGAGTGTCTGGCTGTGATTACTGGCCACTAGGGTCAGCGGGCTCTGTGGCTGTGGGGTCAGCTCCGTGAGATCAGAGGCAGGAGCCACGCTCAGTCACCGCCTCCAGCCTATCTTGTCCTGGTATACCAGCTGGGCTCTGAGATCCCCAACCAGCCACTCCCTCAGCTGTCTCAGCCTGGGCTCCTGGGTCGCAGCTGTCCCTGCTACTCCGCTCTCACTGAAGCCACCAAGCCCAACGGAATTCTGGGCTTTCTGCCAAGCCCGGCACCCAGGGGTGTCTCTGATGGCTGGAGGTGCAGAAGAAATAGACGGAGGAGAAGCTGGCACAGTGAGCCCTGAGCACAGAGATGCCTACACCAGTCATCTGAGTGGGGGCTGGTTAGCCGGTGGTTTCTCCACATGGGGGGCCTGGGTAGATATTCTCAGCCGCGTCCTACAGAGGAGGAAGCTGAACCCCAGAGCCATCAGGTGACTTGTTCAAGGGGATCAGAACCCAGAATGGGAGACTTCCAGGCCCTTGGGAGTGAGGACGGTGGGGAAGGGGGCAGCTGTGGGTGGAAGCTTTGTCCTGGCCCCAGTAGGCAAGGTGTACAGTGGGCACTGCAGGACTACTCTTCCCTGCCCGGGACACAGCAGCCAGGCTTGGGGGCCTGGACATGCATTCCTCAGATCCCCGCGAAAGCCTTCTCTTTCCTGGACCCCTTCCCATTCCCCCCACTTGCACCCACTCCCCCAGGTGTGACCAAGAGCCGGGCGGGTGGATGTGGGTGCGATCTGTGTAGTCCGGCCAGAGAGGCCTCCTCCATGGGAACCGCCATTACCCCCACGCCCACCCCACCGCCCCAGCAGCAGCCTCCACATCAAACTGCAACATTCCTTCCCTCCGCAGATGAGGTGCTATGTCCTGACGGGGGCAGCCAAGGCCCGGGGCCTGCCGGAGTCGGAAGAGGGAGCCCGGGCCGGGCCTGACCTCCCGGGATCGCTACGTCCTGTGAGGCGTGTTTGGACGAGGCGGAGCTCCGTGATGAGGCGCCAAGCCCGGACTCTGGTCCCAGCTCCCACGTCTCCTCCCCGCGGGGCCTTGACCTTCTGAGACGCAGCTTTCGCCTCTGCTGTGGGGAGGCAACAGTCCTTTCCTCGTAAACGTGTCTGGAGGCTGCAGTGAGTCGATGCACGCAGAGCGCCTGGCACCCAGCCTGGCACAGAGTGGCTGCTCCCGAGTGGCACTTGCTAGTGGAGCTGCTGCCAGCAACCCTCCCTCCCACTTTCTACCTCTCTTGGCTCTCACCACACCCCATCTCAGAGAGGAGCCATCTGAGCACCAGAGAAGACTAAGGGCTTGCCAAGGGTCACACAGCACAGCTTGACTCCAAGGTCTGTTTGACATGCTGTTCCTCCCATGACCACCCGCAGTCCCTTGGAAAGGCCTTCTCTGGCACCGATGACACAGAAGGGGGTTCTGGGGGAGCATGGGACCTGGGCTCCCGCCAGACCTGGCCCACCCGGCCCTCAGCATGAGGGCAGGAGGTGCTGCCAAGCAGGAAAGCCCCTGCCTCAGCCCCCCATCTCTGCCTGCAGCCTGGCCCAGCACACACTGCCAAAGCCCCCGGAAGTGGGGGTGGACAGTGTTTAACAAGGTCCCTAGGTATTTGCAAGGAAATCCCACAGAGAGATGGCGAGAAGGCGTACTTGAGGTTTTTCTTAAGCGAGATGGAGAAATCTGGCTGGAATTGGGAAGAGGGGGTTCAAGCTGTGAAATGTTCTGGAACTGGAAGAGACTCAAATTGGAACACCTTGAGGTCGAGCCTTCCCTCTTCTCTCGTGGCCAGCTTCCTTGTCCTCCCGCAGCAGAGACCTCCCTCCCGGAGAGCTCACTGCCGACTGGACAACCCCCCCTGGATGCCCGCAGGCATCCCTGACCTCATCCATCCCAAACGGGACGCATCTTCTCCCCAACCCACGTCTAACCCTCCTGCCCGACCCAGATCTCTGATCCTCCTTTTTGTTGTTTTCTAAATCCTTACCTGAGGATATTTTTCCATTGATCTTTAAGAGAGAGCGAGAGAGAGTACAAAGGAGAGAAAGGGGGAGGGGGGAAGAGAGAGACACATCAATTGGTTGCCTCCTGCACGCACCCCAACTGGGGCCGGGGATCGAAACTGCAACCAAGGTACATGGCCTGGACTGGGAATTGAACCCTTGACACTTCAGTCCTTGGGGTCAACTCTAACCACTGAGTAAAACTGGCCAGAGCTGAGCCTCCTTCTTACTCTGGACAACCCATCCGCCATGTTCTGCTGATTCTTCATCCAGTGTTTCCATCTCTCTCCCTTGCTCTCCACGCCCTGGCAACAGCCTGCGTTCAGGCCTCTGCTCTCTGGGCAACACAGCAGCCTCCTCTCTGCCGGATTCTCTCCTAAGAACTCCTCTTTGGTGACCTGTCACTCTCCCCACAGACCTCCATGGCGCCCTGTCACCTCCATGAGTTCTCAGCCAGGGGGTGTGCCTCAGGCTCACCGGGGTGCCCCTGGGAAATTCATTTGCTCATCCCACACCCGTGACAGACTCTCAGGCCCCCAGGCTCCTGGATGCCCACTAACAGCCAAGAATCCTGGAGCCCTAGGTGTCTCCAACCTCCTCACGCTCCCTGTCCAAGCCCGTCCGACAGGGAGGGACCACGGACGCCTTGGTGTGTCGGCTGGAGGGTTCTGTAAAATTTTGAATGTAAGTGCTGGGCGTGGGGGGCACACAAGATGCTTCTCAGGGCTTTGTCCTGGGTCCCCCAGCCAACAGGGGTGCGGGGAAGACCTTGCCTGCAGAGGGACCCTGCGGGGCTGGCCCCACACCATCTGGGTGCAGGCCTCCATCACCGCGTCCCGGCCTGCTCCGAGCCTGTTTCCAATTACACCCACAGGCGGAAACTCCTGGAGCGGAGGCACAGCAACACCTAAGCCCCTGGGACCAGCCTGGCCGGGACACCGCCGCCTGCTGGCCCCAGCCCCTCCTGTTCCCTGGCCCAGTTCCCTCAACTCAAGGCCTTCCCCGTGCTCAGACCCTGGTCCGTGGTGGGGCTGACCAAAGACCCCTGTCCCACACCTGAACGCACGGAGCGGGTGAGGCACCAGCAGCTCTTTCGCAGATGGAGGAAATGAGGTAGAAATGGGGGATTTGGTCTCTGGGGCATGGCTGGGTTTTGTGTGGTTACCTCTCTGTCCATCCCACCCCACCTCCGCGCTGGGCAGCCCCTTGGAAATGCCAGGGAAGCTCTGAGCTCCCTCTCCCCTTCCCAAGCTGGACACAGCACTTCCTTACATGGAAACGTCAAGGAGGGACCTTGCTGTAAACACAGAATTCACACACACTGAGCGGCGCTGGCTGAGGCCACGGAGATGTGTGGTGAGGGAGGAGGAAGCTGCCCCTGGAGCCCGGGAAGTCTTGGACAGGAGAGGAGCCTGGACCTCCTCGGAGCAGGAATCCTGAGGAGGGGTCTGCTTCAGGGGTCGGCAACCTTTAAGACATAAAGAGCCACTTGGACCCGTTTTCGAAGGAAAAAAAAAACCTCGGAGCCGCAAAACCATTGCGACATAAGTGATACAGCTCCCCGCCCCGCCCTGCTATCTGCCCTGCTGGGGGCCGCAGCAAAGGTTCAAAAGAGCCGCATGCGGCTCCGGAGCCGCAGGTTGCCGACCCCTGCCTTAGACAGTCTTCCAGGCCTAGGGCTAGCCTTCCCAAGAATCTCTCCTCCCCCAACCCCATACCTAGGAAAACAGGACGGGCTTAGAGAGGAAGGAGGATCGTGATGTGGGAGGGAGAGGGTGATAATGAAAACAACTCTCTCCGCAGAGCCAGCAGGAGCCCGGCTGTGCTGAGGAATGTGAAGTACATGCACCCATTTTTATTCCTCCCAGCTGGCTGAGGCAGTGGGGGGTGGGGGGTGCCTGGGGAGAGCTACCCTGAGTCCCCCATCTGTTCCATCCTCCAAACACTAGCATGTGCCTCCCCACCCCACCAGCCCCAGCTTGCCCCGGGACAACTAAATACACACACACACACACACACACACACACACACACACACAACCTAGCAAGTGTTTGGCTGACTCACTACACAAACAGGGTGTTGGGTTTTCTTTGTCTTTGCTTTGTTTTGAATGCTAGCCCTCCCCCCACAAGCTCTGCAGCCCTCTGCATTGCTCAGAGGATGCCCAAGACCCAATCTTCCTCCCAGCCAGAGAGCTGAGCGGGGCAAAGCGCTGAGCAGCTTATCTGGGGGGGTTTTGCTCACTTGTCCCTGTGCCTGAGCCAGGTCAGGGGAAATCCTAGAAGGCCCTATATAGAAGGGAAGTTGGGGAGACATCATTTTTTTCAGATGGGGGAACTAAAGCCCAGAGACAGGCAGGGACTTGCCCAAGGTCACACAGCCAAAGCACAAGGAACCAGAACCCAGGTGTTCTTTAGTCACAAGCCCTCGGCCTCTCTACACACCCCGGTTTGCCCATCTGTGAAATGGGAATGAGACTCATTCCCTTCTCGTCCTTGGAGCACAGGGTCAGGACAGCAGCCCCTTGTTTTCCAATCCGGAGCTGAATCTTCCACGCGAGGGTCTGCCGATGCCCAGGCTTGTATACTTATTGTGTGGCGAGCGGCTTCTGACCTTTCCCTGCCTGTGGACAGGGCAGCCTCCCCTTCTCCACAGGAAAGAGGCTGGAGAGACATCACTCCTCTCTCCTGCCTCCCTCTTGCCCTTCACTAACTCCAGTCCTGTCCTCCTCACTGGGTCATTGCCAAGGGGCCTGCTCTGACAGCAGGGTGCTCTCTCTGCATTCTGGATCTCACCCCCTTTTAGAGCCCATGCGGTGAGATTTCACAATCACTGTGTCAGGTACTGGTTACCTACTCAGCCCCAGGTGCGGTGCTAAACATCTTACAGGCATGAGCACACTAACTTAGAGATCATGATGGGTGCGGATGCAGGGTGCGGGAGTGTCATTGTCCCCGTATGTACGAGGGAATGGAGGCTCAGAGAGTTGAAGACCCTAGGGTGCCCAGCTAGGATTTGAACCCAGTTCTGCGGGACACCGGGGCAGATCCTTTCAGCCAACCAGGAAAACAGCTCAGGCCACTTCTGGAGGCACGTGTTCTCTAGAGGGTGCACGAGGTCCCTGGCAGGCCGTGGCCAGCCCAGATGGGGTCCCTGGGGAGGGACCCTGACAGCCTTGGCCCCGGGGCTGCTACAAACCTGGGAGCCGCTGGGTAGCAGTGACCCAGGGTCTGCCCCCAGGAGCCAGCCTCCCACGGGAACTCTGAGTCAGATCTCCAGGGCGCCCCTGCCCAGCGCTCCAGGGCATCCCTTCCCTCGGCTGGGGACTGCATCTCCTGTCTGAGCCCCGGCCCCTCTCCCTCGTCCATCCCGGGTCTCCGTCCTGACCTCCAGCCTGCACTGGCCTGGGTCACAGCGCCCCCTCCTCAGTCCGGGTCCCAAGCGCCACCACCATCTCCAGCGCTTCTTTCCCCGCGCGCTCCGCTCCTGCGATCCAGGTCCCAGCGGCTTCCATGCGGAGCCGGAGGTCCGGTCTCCCTCCCGGGTCCTCCGCTCAGGTCCCCCGCCCCCCTCCTCGGGCGCAGCGCCCCCTCGCGCCGGTTCCAGGAGCAGCGCCCGGTCGGAGGGCCGCGCGTACCTTGCTCTCGGCGCGCGCGGGGCCGGCGCGCAGCAGCAGCAGCAGCAGCAGCGGCGGCAGGAGGAGCAGAGGCAGCGGCCGGAGCGAGGTGTCCACGGCCATGGCGGGCACGGCGGGCACGGCGGGCACCGACAGCCGACAGCCCAGCGCGCACGCCTGGAAGCGCGGGCTGCCCTGCGAGCGCGGTGCCGCCGCCGACTCTGTCCGCGCGGCGCGCCCCCGGCCCCCGCCCGCCGCTCCCGCCCCGCGCCCCGTCCCTGCCTCCGGGGGCGGAGCTGGGAGGGAGGTGGGCACCCCGCCCGGCCGGCTCTCGCCTCTCCGCTAGTCCAGGCGGATCTCCAAGGGCATCCCTGTCCGGACACACACACAAAAGGGACTTGTTCAGAGTTTGCAGGAGCAGCGGGCCAGGGGGGGGGGGGGGGGGGGAAGCATGGCTTCCCGCACATTCTGGGAGGATAAGGCCCTTGGGCGCGTCTCTTCGTCTCTTTAAGTCTCAGTTTCCTCGTCTGTAAAATGGGACAACTAG